AATATAAACTCTAAATCGTCTTGCGGTAATGCTGTAAATATATTTTTTAAATAAGAGAAATCTGCGAGTGTATTAGGTGCCCGGGGTTCGAACCCGGGCGGGACCTTCTGCTGTCTCGGCCATTGAGGCTTTGTTGGGAATTCAAATCCGACTGAAGCACCTAATTTTTTCACACTCATATGCGCATGCATATTAGACAGCACTAGTCTCTTAATGTATGGCAAATAACAGAGATTATTATGATACGCCCTCTTCTTATCAGCAATAGTCCTATGCCTACGACAAGACGAGATCTCCGAAGATATGTAAATAATGATAGAATAGAGATAAACTCTGAATCGTCTTACTTGCGGTAAAGCTATATATAAATAGAGTTTTAAACGTTAGAGAAGAGGAATCTGCGAGTGTGAAAAAAAAATGTGCCCCAACCGCGCTTCGGACCCGGGACCTTCTGTTGTATCTAGCTGATAAAGGGGCTTTTAAGTGCAATAGTATCAGTGTTCTTGTTGTCATGGGAACCCCGATGGTAATAAGATTTTTTCTTGGGTACTCCTCAGTTCCATCTGTCAATATTGTACTTTTAGTGTTTTTTTTTGTTTTTTGTTTTTTTGTTTTTGTATGTTCAATATTAATAATAATAATAATAAATAATAATAAGGATGATACAATTTTACAAAGCGCATATTAAATTTTGATGTTATTTGTAACGGCTTATTATGACTATTAGCGTTGTCGCGCGTTTCCATAGCATAGAATGCAACTCTTTATTCAGGTTTTTGTGATTTTCATATGTAAAATATTAGATTGTAATTTTTTTTTTGTAAGAAGGGAATATTGCTCATTAATATTCGACAATCGTACTGTAAATGTCACGCAATTCAGCTGTACCGTTGCTGCCATGTTGATATATGAATGAAATGAAATGAATAATGGGCGAGTCGAGTGGCCGGTAAGTTCAAAGGTAAGGCAATAGGCGCCGATAGCTACAACCTTAACATTTGCGATGGTTGCAGCCGCTCCTCGCCCATAGTTCGGTTGATAGAACCGTCTTATCTGATAAAGGTTATTCTCCTACCTTTACCTTTTCTACCTTCAAATGAAATAAAATGAAATGAAAATGATGGTTTATGATATTGAAATTACAGTATTAGGTTCTCAGTGGCGCAATCCAATCCAATCTTCGACTTAGAGCTCTACAACAATTAGGCTGGGGAAGCTTATAGAAGTGGTTGGCGCATCGGTTGTGACTTCGACACCCCCAACCTTGAGGTCGGGGGTTAGTCGTTGTTCAAGTCGCAATTGTGTCCTTGGGCAAGGCACTTACCTACGGTTGTTTCTCTCCATCCAGGAGTACAAGTGGGTAGTAGGTTCAAACACAACCTGCGCTGATTACAGCTGCAACATTATGGAATTTTCCCATGGGCGTGAGTAATTTGGGGGGGGGGGGTGTGCGCCCTCTCCTAGATACGTCACTGCTGCTCACGACACAAGTGGAAGTGTCGTATTCCATATGTGCTTGATCCAGTTACCGGGGGTAATAATGTAAGCACAGAGAGGTCGCTACAATATGCGCTATATAGTGTAAGTCGAATGAATCCGGTCCATCCACTCTGGAATTTTTGACGTTTAAGGACTTGCCGTATTTTTTTATTTTACACGTCCTGCTCATTAAGGGCGCTTATTTGAAACCCTGGTCCTGGCAAACTCACTGATATCAATATCCAGTACTCACTTAAGTGTCCTCACCCTCGTACCCTGGATTTCGCCAGTAGAAGCTCGTCTATAAGTGTTTACGCCACTGAAGGTATGGTTCTCACAATTGCGCCGATTCAGACTCAAAAATATGACAGACCATTTCTAACCTGTTTTAACTTGAAGTTCATTTATTCGGAAAGTATTCAAGAATTAAATGGCCAATCATCAGTTAATTTGAAAAAAAAAGAAAACGTTTAATTTGGCAAGTATTTTGACACTACTTTGACTTGTGTGTTGTTACTTGAACTTTAATAAACATAAATCACTTTAACGATTATATCTTTTATATACAATAGTATGTATAGATATTCGTAGCACTAGGTTTTTTTGCCTCTAGGTAGTGCTCTATTGAAAAAGAATATACAGTAAGCTTCTTGTACTTTTCCCATTCAAATATTCTCTCCGAATATTTTCACTTTGAGCCTGTTGAAATGTGTTGTAATGATGAGTTTCCTTAAAATCGCTACACGTTCGCTACAGTGTTTTCAATCCAATTTACTGCTTACACAATCCCCGACGCAATCGGACTGATACGAACGACCACTCAGCATCACCGGCCGAAAGCTCTCGGCGATAGCGCAGGGGCGGATCCAGAGATGTCCACAAGAGGGGGGGGGGCGAAAGTTGGGCCGATCGAGACAACACTGTCCCAGGGGGTCTGGGGGAATTCCCCGCGAAATTTTTGTGTTCTAGACGGCCAAAAATAACATTTAAAGCGTTCTGGGCTTATATTTTTTCCTTTTTTCCCCCTTTTTTCACCTCCCAAAAGGTGGGGGGGGGGAACGGGCCGGCCCTACCCCCTAAATCCGCCCCTGTAGCGTGTAGCGATTGTATGGAAACCAAGTCAAGTAAATTGATGGTAACGAAGAACCACATAGTGCCTAGAGCATCTTGAAAATATATCATATTTTTCTGCTTCTATAATAATACTACATTATTTACTACATGTATGCAACTTTGGCATACGCCTATTCTTTATATAATTTTATTATCTGTATTTGTTTTCTACATCAATCTGCTTTTCTGCCGATCTGGATGAACATGCCTTGGGCAAACCAATGAATGTAAGAATGAAATCAGCTATGGTTGTCAAATCCCATATGATTAATCAAGTGGTAACGTCAGTGGGGTGGCGAGTCAGGGTTATTTCACAGACCCCCACCCCTTTGTCGGATAACCATGAATCCTCTATTGTTTTGACGGCACTTGTGACGTCAGATGGTCTAACCAAAGTTGATGTGTTTGCAGTTCCAAATATTGTGGTTAAAAAAGCACTGGGCTCAATTTTGCTATCCTAGAATCCACCCGGATAGGCATGATCTCCCCGTGATGCTACATCAACCCAGGGGCTTCCATTTGTGTCGTGAGCAGAGGCTATATAGTCGGCCCCATTTTTCGGGAATCCCCTGTCGGACTTGTTGGACCCGCTGTTGGCAAAGCTCCGGAGTCATCACTAGTTGATGCATAAAGCAGGAAGCCTGAAAAACTACAATACTTGGTTTCATTACTATGGTAATAGTTATAACCTCTATTAGGCCAAGTCCACACTTCATCCCCTGATACTAAATCAAGAACAACCATGTTGCTGGCCGAGCCGATTATTCCCCGACTGTTCACCTCCATCGTGGCGATAACGCTTTTTCCGTTCATCGCGAGTTTTGTTGAAATTCTACCGCCGGATGATGACATCGATGTAAATTGGAAGACATAGGTGCCTGGATATTGGCAAACAAATTTGCCTGTTTCTTTATTGTAGTGGCCTCCCACGTTAGTAATTACTTTTGTGTATTTCATTGGACACAATGCAAGAAGACGGCCTGGATTTTCGTCAAAAGCAACTGAGAACGCAGACTTAGGTTGGCTCGTAGCATGTTCTCCTTTATCGCCCTTCATACCAGGAAACCCTCGTAGCCCTATTGGTCCCCGTATACCGTCATACCCCGGTTTTCCATGTAATCCTTGGCATCCTTTTTGTCCTTTCAATCCAACATTTCCTTTTGGTCCCATCGGACCAGGTAACCCAGGGCGACCGTGGCTACCTGGAATTCCAGGAATTCCTGCAGGAGAAGTACAACAGACACTGCAGGCTCGGGTGTCAGTGGGTCCATCAACTTGAACTGCAGCTGATTGAATGATGTTTAAAATGCTGAGTTGTATGACAAATGCAAAATACATTTTGATTCTGAAATTTAAATTAAAATCATATTTGTCACTTATAATCAAATTTGGTTTTCTGTTTTAAAATAAAACATTTATTTCTCTTTCATTTATATAGGGCCTACAATTTTTAAAGAAATTGAATTTATATCCAGTAGGCCTATTCATTTTAAAACAGAGGCGAAATCTAATTAAAAGAGGACGCTTGTAAAGTGGCTGTATGAATCAAAAAGAAAATTATTAAAGACGACTGATTCATTTATTGACTTCTACATAAAAAAGTTAAAATGTATATTAAACATTGGACATTTTTTGTTTGAATACACATATTTCCAAGTACAATTTAAAATAATGTATTGAAATATTAAGTAAAGCACGAAATGTAATACGTTAAACTTTTCAATGTTAAAAAGGTATTAAGGATCATTGAAAAAAAATAAATAAAAATAAAAAATAATAATAATAATAAAAGATCCTAATGTAAAAAGAGACATTGAAAAAAAATCCTGGCAATAAAATCATTTATAAAAAAATAAATAATAACTGGATGTACAGCATAAAATTTATCTATATTAAAAATTATAATAGAACTTGGTAACAAGGAAGTTCGATATCGTTTAACTCTGGTATTGATTAATTGTAAACGCACTCCGGACTGCTGATAATTATATTATGAAAACATATATAGGTGATTCTTGTCTAACATTTCTTTTTTTACAAAGGCTATAATATCATCATTACACTCAATTTTAAGATCATATTTTTTATGTTCATTATTTTACAAGCCTGTTTAGTAACTCTCTTTAATTTATTTATGTCTTTGACTGTGAGGGTGCTACTCTAAACAATACTGGACATTGAGATAAAACTAAGTGCATGGACCTAAAAACATGTTATGGACTTTATTGCTGACTTTAAATTCGTTAAATTTTCTCATAAGGTATAATCATTGTTGGCCTGTCTTATAAAGGTGCTGAGAATTACTATGCTAATTTAACTTGTGAGCAATTCTCTACCAAGATATTTGAAATCAATTATTTTATCCACTACTTTATTATTTATTTTGACATCAGAATGAACAAACTAACTTGTGTCTAAAAACGATTACCATTTCTTTTGTTTTCTTAACGTAAAGTTTAAGGAAATTATCACGGCACCAATTTGAAAGGTTCTCAACATTCTTCAAATAGTTGCAGAGTTATATCATCTTATCAATATATTGACGACGCACGCAACTGATCGTTTTTTTCGAGGGAACGAAATATTATTTCGTTCCCTCGAAATAATTAAATTTTTTTTCTAACCATGTCCCTTTAGGGGCTCCTTACGAAATATTATTTCGTTCCCTCGAAATATTATTTCGTCCCTCGAAATACTATTTCGTTCCCTCGAAATAATATTTCGTGTATGGTACGGTACGCCCAGTGCCTTCAGTGTCGGCTGTTCGTCAGGGGTGGCGCCAAGATTTGCCCAACGGGGGGGGGGGGGCGAAATCCCCGGCTGGGGGTCCATGCCCAAGACGAAAGCAAAGTGGGTGTGGTCGAGCTTCGATTGAAAGGTTTCGACAGTTTATAAATTTTGACTTTCTTTATTTGATGACATCAATATATACCGGTACTAACTTTGGGCTTGAAAAAATTTCACTCAAAAATTGGAGTAAAAAACAGCTTACAGGATAGGAACTAAGAGCCTAAATGTCAGTCTCCACTAATAGGCCTACTAACATATTAATGTATAGTTTGTTTCATTATTATTATTATTATTATTATTATTATTATTATTATTATTATTATTATTATTATTAATATTATTATTATTATTATTATTATTATCATCATCATCATCATCATCATTATTATTATCATCATCATTATTAGGCCTATTACTATTAATATTATTAATCAATTGCAAGTAAAATCGTTTCAATTTTTACTCACCTATCAGAAGTTCCCATGTTGTTTTAAGTTCTGTAGCTAATAAACTTTTAAGTCCTTTAAATGTCTTGTATTCTTCGTGTGATCTCTTGCTCTGTTCTGATGCTGCCTAGTAAACCGAATGCACATTGTTGCTTTTAAATAGTTAACTTTATATACGATCAAGTTATAAACATCTTGCCTTGCGAACAAAAGAAGCAATTATTAAAGTTCAACAACTTTGTTAAGGAATTCTTAAACCACTATTTGTTAGCCCATTGTTATTGTTATTATTACCATTTTAAAGGAGGAGATTCATATTAAAATGTAAATATTAGTAAATACATAATATGTAAATGCAATTTGTGATTAAATTCTTAAACCAATATTTATATTTTATATAAATCCCATCCTTGTGACCGATATTGATAACGAAGATAATTAGAACAGTAACAATGCCGAGCAACATCCAGCGACCCCTGATGACATTAACCGCATTTTTAATGTTTAAAACTTCCCTCATCGCCTACATTCTTTATTCAATTTAAATTTCGTGTAAGTTGCCACCTTTAACATCGTTTACTCATTCCCCCATCTGGCTAAGGCGAGACTTTTTGTTTGGCGTACATGTTTTTTCCTTAGATATTGTTGCTAAGGCGGACTTTTTGTTTGGCGTTTTAAAGATTATCTGAGAAGGGTGGATAATAAAAATAAAATTTTGTTTTCTTATTTAGCAAATAGTTTGCCAAAGTCATCCAGACAGAGGAGAAAATAAAAATAAAATTTTATCGGTTAATGCAAAATTGGATGGTTAAATGCTTCAAATATATATCACAGGAAAGAAATATAGGCCTACTTATCTTATTTTTGGAGATTTCAAGGCAGCGGTGTGCGTAATAAAAATAAAGAAAAACTTTTATTTTTTTCTGATATTTCCACTATTTTGTGGCGGCGGATGCGGTAATTGGCCACAAATAAAATTGTACTTTTTATTCGAAATCATCAATATTTGCAGTCGCGGGTTAGGTCCCTAAACAATACCCAAATGAAAATTTAAATAGAATATTACAAATTATGGGTTTCAGAAATCTATTATATGGCCCTCAAAATGCTAATTTGTCGGAGCTTCCACAATCTCCAACATAATCATAATCATCGTCGCTTATGGTATACCATCAATCACCATCGACATTATTATCAGTGG